GCCCCCCAGGGGCACAGCGGTATGTTTGCAGACTTACAACGCTAGAAACCGGGTTTCGATACCCGTGGTGGGCAGAGCACAGATAGCCCTTGTGGAGCTTTGTGCATAATTAAAAAACAAACAAAAACAAACAGTTTATGTTTATTTAATATGTGGTGACGATTTCAGTTACTAATTTTGTTTATTAAAAACTGCTGACTTATATAAACTGTTATCTGATCTAAAAAATATTGTTGTGATTCACCAGCTTCATTGGCTACAATAATATGTAATATAAGACATGACAGATTAGAATTTAATTTCATATAGTCTTTTAGAGATTTAGACTATGAACAAAGTGAAATATTCTGTAAAACAGAAACATCAATAAGCCAGATGCGTATCGTGTAAATTTTTCTCCCTCAGTCCCTGTCTAATTGTTATATACCTCCCACCACCTAAGTCATGTAGGAAGTATGCATTCATTTACGTGTGTATATGTCTTTTTTTTTTCGTCCTTCGGTTTAAGGTACCACTACAGGGAGTGCTCATTATGTTTGCTCCTCTTTACACGATTTCGCTTTTACACCATCTATTAAATAATAAATGAAAAACAAATTCGCATATTTCATATTTTAAAAATATTTAAAAACGCACCACTTTTGAACAACGCGCCCTAAAGCAACCGCAGTGGCGCTGCTCTCGAGGAAACAAATCCTGTCGACAAGTGCACAGATTGTAAATAAATGCGGCATCAGTTTGAAGCAAAATGAGTCATAAACGTCCAGGAAGTGGTAGTTCTTCACCTAACAAGAAGAAGCAAAGAAACAGTGTTAGTTAAAATGTCAAAATGTATGTTTTAATGCATCTTGAAAAAGATGAACGGACTGTTGATATTACTAGAATATCGAACCTACCACCATCAACAGTGAGAACCATTCGAATAAACGCTGAAAAAATTAAGAAAAGTGCTGAATAACTCCACCATTCCCCACCGTCACCCAGTAGACATCAATAAGAAAACTCTTAAATCATCTCATGTGTTATTTTATTTTCTACAACATTAAGTAAAGTTTTATGTAATTTAAGCGAGGATAAGTACCGTTTATGAGAAAAATTTGATGTGAAATGACCCCCAGGAAAGTAACCCCTACTTATAACAATAGGTGAATAGTAAGTAATATTGACTTCGCTTTATGCCGATTCGCTATACATGGGTCCTCCGGTGGTAAATCTTCGGATTTTCAACTCTAAAATCAGGGGTTCGATTCTCCCTCGGTGAACATAGCAGATAGCCCGATGTGGCTTTGTTATAAGAAAACACACACACGCTCAACACGGCATTTTTCAGGATCGCAAACCCCACGTATAATGAGTACCCTCTGTACTGTGTCTGTTGTATTCCAGATCACTTAAGTTACAAAATTTATTGGAATAAAAAATCCTTAAATTCAAAAATAGAACAACAGCTGGTGGCACTCACGCTGCAATATTCGATAACGGGCTAGGTTGTAACCCCTTCAGCGAAAGAGAAGTGTTTTCAAAAAGACAACATCTGCCAAGTCATAGCTTCTATTAGCGCTTGTATTGTTGGGTTTCTAGTTGTGATCTAAGTTTATGTTAGGGTGTTTAAACAGTATATTGTTCCAGAAAAAGACGAATAAATATTGTTATTTGAAAAGCTTTCCAAATTTGATCAGTGAACTCTAATGTAGTTTTAAATCAGTTTACTTACTTACTTATCCCACTATGAAAACTACTGCGGTAAATATATTACCTTGTTTTATGTTGATTTGTGCATTGTCGTACACTGATGTCCCCCCCCCCCCTGCATTGTTTAACCGATTCCAAAAAACCGAAGAACTCTTCGGTAAAACTGGCTATATGTGTATGTGCATGTGTTAAACTCATAAAAATGACTGAGCCTGGTGCAAAGGAAAGACGGCTTTAGAGATCAACCACGAGGACGTGAAACCGTATGCGTGGACTCGCTCATCTTGAAAGAATTCCTATGACAGTCAAGGTCACTACTGATTAAGATCAGTAAAGCAAAAAAAAAAAAAAGCTTTTAGTCACTGCATCAGACCGTCTCCATATTTGCACAACCAAGATAAATTCAGCTTAGAAACATGAAGGGAAAATGCGTTTAGTTACTGCGTCTAGATGAATAATGTTTCCATAACTACACTACCAAGACAAGATACTCTGTGGTAATTTTGTTTCAAAGCTACGTTTTGACGATAGGTTACATCGTAAGCTAATGTACTTATGTGGCATTAGATATCTTTTCCTGACCCGAATAATAATATTTTTATGATTCCAAGCATCAATTGTTAATACTGTATAATGGATCACGTGTGAAGTATAAAATACATAACTGTTGCGTGATATATAAACTATTACAAATCACGTGTGATGTATAAACTATTACAGATCACGTGTGATGTATAAACTATTACAGATCACGTGTGATGTATAAATTACTGCAGGTCACGTGTGATGTATAAACTATTGCAGGTCACGGGTGGTGTATAAACTATGTGAAGTATAAAATACATAACTGTTGCGTGATATATAAACTATTACAGATCACGTGTGATGTATAAACTATTGCAGGTCACGGGTGGTGTATAAACTATATGATGTATAAGCTTTATTACAGATCATGCAGGATGTATAAATTATATAATTTTTCACGCATGATATATAAACTATTAGAGATCACGCGTGGCGTATAAAATATATAATAAATCACCTGTATCTTTTAAATGGCGTGAGGAAAATAGCTTGGGGACAAACTATTCGTGGCGAAACTCAAGAAATAGAGAGGAATGCAAAGTTACAGGGAAATTCAAACTAACTACATATTTTACTAGTTTCTCTTACAAATACTAGCAATAAGCTTAAACAAGGCAAGGGATTGCTTAGGTGGGCCTAGCACTAGAATTACAAATGGCATGTAAATTTTAAATGTATTCGTATATTAGCTAGGAACCTAATTTGAGCCTTAATGTAAAGAAAATCTCGAAAAACTTGTCAGTCTAGTAGTGCTGGTAGTGGATAATGTGACTTAATCTGGCTAGTAGTGCTGGTAGTGGACAATGTGACTTAATCTGGCTAGTAGTGCTGGTAGTGGACAATGTGACTTAATCTGGCTAGTAGTGCTGGTAGTGGACAATGTGACTTAATCTGGCTGGTAGTGGACAATGTGACTTAATCTGGCTGTTAGTGGACTATGTGGCTTGATCTCTCTGCCGCTTGGGATCTTGCACTTGCTAATGCGAGCACTGGCTATTATCAGAGCAATTAAAATACGAGGATTTTAACTACTGAAATTAAAGTAGAATAATCGCGAATTACACAAAAGTATAATGTATATTTCCAATTTTCAAAAAAGCAGTTAGAAACGAAATGTTCAGAGAAAAAAAAACAGCATGGGCTGAGCAATAAGCCCCCAGTGGCACAGGGTGGGTTTCGATACCTGTAGTGGGCACAGCACAGATAGTCCATTGTGTAGCTTTGCGCTAAGTTACAAACAAACAAACTGAACAATACTGAAGAGTATATTTCTAATTTTGAAACAAACTATTCTATGTAAAACGTTCATGAAAAAAAGTAGCTTGGGTCAGGAAAAAAAGAAAGCACAGAATCTGGTATGACTTGTACAAGAAAACTATTAACCTTTTTTTAATACAAAAATTTAAAAGTATATGACTGAATTGCTTCTAGCTGCTTTTCTACAATTCTTGTGATTCATTGCTAAATTTATGTTTATTACAGATGAAAACAGCACTCTGAACCCCACAGGCTTTCGACATGTGGTGTTGCAGCAGAGCGTGACCATGCTGGCCTACATGGACCACACCATGCAGAATGTAACTGAGAAGCCACGTGGCTTTTTTGCCATGTGGCGCCTAGACAGAGACTTGACAATTGTTGTTGGCGCCGCTATAGGTACAGTTCTAAATTTCATTCCAAATAAATTTAATATAATTAATTATTGAAGGTTTTGATGCATAGTCCTTTACTCATCACTAATAACCTAACGCTACTTTAGGTGTTTGAATAACATGTGCCTATACCATCACAATTAATTACTAGTTATTATTCAGTGGATTAGCTGGTAAGTTGTTTATTTATTTTTAGTCTAAGATGGATCTCCCCATATATTTCGCAGAAGTTTGTCACAGGGGGGCGGGGGGGGGGGAGTATACTACTTAATGAGTTAAAATGACTACTGCTTTTTCATGGATTCACGAAGAAAGTTGTCACCTACATTTATTTTATGAAAAATCAGCAAAAGTTAATAAATAGAATGAAAGGAGGGCCCGATGATATTACTGACCCCGGGGCCTGAGCTGGCTCTCGACGCCCCTGAGCACGTGACTTGAAATATGTATGTGTGTGTGTGTGTGTTTTCTTATAGCAAAGTCACATCGCGCCATCTGCTGTGTCCATCGAGGGGAATCGAACCCCTGATTTTAGTGTTGTAAATCTGAAGACTTGCCACTATCTCACTGGGGGACGACTTGAAATATTGTTTTTTTTATAGTGCGAATAACTCTCAGTAATGATAAATTCTCATTAATTAATAGGTCTAAGAGTTGCTATAAAAATAAGTTAACTGCAGATTTTTCTTCTTTTTTTTGTCTTTTACCCATTCCTCTAAATTTGTCCATTGCGACTACAAATCAGAGGTGTCTAAACATTTCAGTTCTATCTTTTGTCTCCTACAAGTCACTGCCCAGTAAGCTTTGTCGTCAGTACCAGAACTCTACAGTTGTGCTGGACGATGAAAGACAGAGGTTCTATGAAACGCTATTTAGATATGCAGTATATAAGTATGCTTGATAAGACTAGGAGGGGGCACGAACATAAATTTTGGCAGGATAAAAGTCATTTTCAGCTAAGACAGCTTTATTTTTCTAACAGATTTGTCTTTGGAATGGGCTGCATTCAGATGTGATGGACTCAGTTAATTTAAGGGAGTTTAAGGGAAAGCTTGATAAACACTTAAATGATAAGTGTTGGATTTGAGTGCTTTACTTTTAATATAGTATAGTAAATAGGACAGCCTATATGGACCAACAAGTCATTTGTTGTCGTTAAATTATATATAAATAAATTTTTCAGACAAAAATGACCAAAAACATAAAACATCACAATAAAAGGCACACAAAGAAACGTTACAAAGTACATATATGGAAGAGTGAAATAGCGTAGTAAAAGAGATATCGAAGGAAGCACAACCCTAGCAACGGTAGGGATAACATATTTAGAAGATGCACAAAAGTACAATTTATTCTTCTATTATTGCAGTGCGAATCTCAGTTTCTTTTTCTGTTTGTCTTTTATATGGGACGCGTTTTATTTTCTGAAAAGTTGTTATATTTCTATATTTATATAAATGGTTTGCAATTTCATAAGCTCAGTTTTATTTTTAAGTGATAATCTTGCTACTTTTATTCGTGCCTAGGTACCTTAGGGTTGATGTTTATTCTAGCATTCGCCGTCCTTGCATGGCGTTGCTGTTGTCAGAAGTCAGTGAATGAGAAAGAATACGGTAAATTCACGTTATCATTTGTGTATTTTGTTTTGAAAAAATAAGTTTAAAAATTGAACTCATAATTAATTCCTTCTTGTAAAAAAGTTAAATTTATAGAAGGAACAGTTGATTATTGTTATCTTTTGGTATCATCTGGTAAACGTTATGATGTTTACAACGGTATGATATTAGTGTAATAAAAACATATAAAATGTATTTTTACTATTAAATTGCGTGTTTGTTAAACCTTTTTACATGAAATTGAAATAAAAATTAAGTATAATTTTTATCCTTTAAATTTATGCTTTATTTTAACATACGCAGTGGCTAGATACCTGGCTGCCGGGAATGATCTTTCAAATATTATATATATAATACCCGGCAATCCGAAAATTTGAATATCGATGAGCTACAGAATAGTAATGTTGATAATAATAACAATAATAAATAGTAATGATATTAATACTAGTGATAATTTCAATAAATATAGTATCACAAATTATATATATATATAAGTTATCATATTAGACGTTTATTGATATTCATCATCGTGAAATTGTGTACTGCCGGCGGGTATATAGAATTTCGAGGATCGTTCCCTGCAGCTTGTAGCAAACACATGGTCGATCGATACTAAACAAGAATGACAATTAATATTTATGTTTACAGTGCAGAAGTTTTACCCAGATCGTTTTATCGAGTTTGAAGACTCAGTTTCGTAATTTACTATTAGTATTACTCATTCTCTAAGTCAGATCGTAGCTCTTCAATGTTTACATTTTTTGAAAGCGGGGTATTTACCGTATTTTACGGAATATAAGACGCACCCTTATTTTGAAGACAAAGTTTTGGGGGAAAAAAGCTACAGTCGCATTTGAAAGATTTTTATTGAACAAAAATTCAATTTGATACTTTAAAAAATAGTATATATTGTTCTAAACACAAAAGAGC